ATATCATGAACTTTACAAAATAATGTTAATAAAATTGTTTTTAATAGTACCCTTTTGTTGGTACTATGAAGGTTGTTGGCACACAGCTAACAGATACATGTACTTCTAGTATGCTAACTCTCCCGGATTCTCTGGGAGTCTTCTGGATAGAGAGTTCAGGTGTTTTTAATATGAGTGTAGAGTAATTTTTAACTAGGTATACAATCATACAATGATACACTAAGGCGGCTTATATATATGGGGTATTGACCAAGTGTGAGGTCAAGATGGCTGGATATTGGCCAAGTTCCTTTTTTGGGTGTTTATGGACCGAGATGGAGTCAAGGTCCATAAACACGCAAGAAAAGAACGAGGCCAATATCCAGCCATCTTGACCAAACAAGCTTGGTCAATAAAACATTTATTATATGGCTTTCGGGGAAACTTTTCTTGCAGGACACAGCGGTTAGTCCCGAATGGGCAAGATAGCTCTATCTTGCCTGCTCGGGTAGCCAATCACAGCACAGGATTTGATTCATCTTGCCCGCTCACTGAGCTAGCCATGTAATAATAGGGAATCTTGTATTCTGTTTTAAGCTGTTCTCAGATTGATTGGATTGACTTGTTCAATGTAATGTAATTTGGAATTTGTATTAAAGTTAAAGTTAAAGTTAAAGAGAGTTAATCTCCCAGTNTTGCCCGCTCACTGAGCTAGCCATGTAATAATAAGGAATCTTGTATTCTGTTTTAAGCTGTTCTCAGATTCATTGGATTGACTTGTTCAATGTAATGTAATTTGGAATTTGTATTAAAGTTAAAGTTAAAGTTAAAGAGAGTTAATCTCCCAGTCTCCTTTATGGGCCACAAACCTCTTGGATACAAAGGAAAGTGCTCAAAGTTCAATTTTCACTCTTTTGTCTTTTTTTTTCAGTAATTTTTTTTACTGGGATATTTCTGGAGTTTTGATGCATTTTTGTGGTGAACAGACAGAGCGCTGCTTTGAATGACTTTTTACTAGGGTCAAGAACTCAGGGTGAAATTGGCGAACTCCAGAATTTTGATTTTTTTAGGTTGGCAAGTCTGCTCTTGCTAAACTTTTTAGTTGATTGAGTTGTACAAACAGTTTGTTTACCAATGCCAGAGTTTGCACCACTAACTTGGTTTGCTGACTGAAAGACCAATGGAGTGTG